CAATATTATAAGACTAAACAATCTAAATTTTTATTTATTGAAAAAATATATGATAATAATATTAACTTTGCATTAATCATAAATTTATTTAAGCAAATAACATTGTATCTTAAAAATGAATATAAATATTACAAGCCTTTGTTTTCATGAAAAAAAGTTATTTTTTAATGTCATACTTAAGAGGATGCTACACCCACATGTGTTGTCTCCGTCTCACAAGTGCGTCACATTGCAAAAACTGTTTCACACAGGAAAGAACCGAGAAAGCTACAGTAATAACTAAGAAACAAAATTTTCACCACATAACATGGAGAATTTTATCTGTGCGATATTTGGTTTTTTTTTTCAATATAAGAACTACAAAAAAAGTTATTCATGCTTAAAAAACACAAAATTAATGTATTTATAAAACAATAAGAATTTTTTTTTGTTTATGTGATATCGAAAAATAAAAACGATATTGCACAGACAAAATTCTCCTTTTTATGTGGTGAAAATTTTGTTTCTTAGTTATAAGTGTTATAACTATATCTTTATCGGTTCTTTCCCGCGCGCAACAGTTTTTKCAATGTTACGCACTTATAAGACGGAGACAACACATGCGGGTGTAGCGTCCTCTCAAAGACCAGACATAATTGCACTAAATTATCTAAAAATTGCAATGGAAAATACCTATATATTTAAGTTTGATGATAAAATCATTCAATACCATATAAAATATAGGTAATTGTTGATTACTTACTTAAACAAAATGGACATTAACAAATTTAAAAATTATAAAATAGTATACAAAAAAAATACTATAAAAAGTATTTAAAAATTAAAATATATTATTTTTCTGAATTAAAATTTATAGTTATATAACATTTCTAAATTGTACCAAATGTTACTTTAAGTATACCTATTTAATGAAAAAGTATGTTCAACGTCTATATTTTTATCAGTGTATATTTAAAATAATTTAATAAAGTTAATGTTACATCTAAATAAGCATTTTGATTTCTCGCCGTGATCCCAGACAAAGTTTTAATAGTTTTATATTGTTCTTTTTTTTCTTAGTCATATTTAAATTTATCTAACTACCAACGTCATTAAGACCTGGAATACATTAGTAATATATTTTGTATACATTGGCCAATAAATTATTAATATTGATATAGTCGAGTTACAATAACTCAAAAAACTTGATGACTCAAATTTTTTCTTATTCCCCTATTATAACAGAAAGTAACCATTAATAAGTTCCTACTGTATTTAATTGTTGAATTATACGATGAATAAACAAAGTAATGAGTGGGTAAGGGTTAATAATATATACATATACCACAATTAGGTGATAAAAATTAATTAAATATATTAGTTGATAGTACAATTTAGTAAACATGTTAAATTTATTAATAAAACTATCCTTTCCGTAGGTAAGAAATCTAGTGTATTTGAACTCATTTTAAAGTCAAACCAACATAGAAAAATCAAAGATGAAATTTAAATTAACACTACTATTACATTTTATTTAAATAGAAATTATATTACTACTTTATCTAAGCATGTGATCACTGATCAACAAGTTAATTTATTTAACTGCCAGTATTAGGTATAATAAATTAATATGGACTATTTCTTAAAACTACCTAGGTAAATATAAATATATCAAATATTATTGACTCAATAATTTTTAATATAAGTGTAATAAGTTAAATTTATTAGGTATGATATGAAGTTATAAGTATTCATTTTATCACTATATTAACAAAAAAATTTGAAATAATCCAGTTTTAATTGGATTTGGTTGCACTTATAATAATAATCTAAAAACTATCAATAAATTTACATTGAAAAATAAATTGGTTAGAATAAGTTATAACAGTTTTTAACTTCTTACCATTACGATAACTGGAATAATACATGGATCTGGAGTCAAATGATTCATCTCGTCTTTTAGGAGTATCATCACAATATTTACGTGAAGTAAATCCTTGGTCACCATTATAAGATCTGTTCCTCATTAAAACTCTATTGCTTCTGTAATATGATCCTGTGGTTTTGTTACGATAGTCATCTTTATTGAAGGTGCCATTCTTCGTATAATGATCTACAGGAGCTACATCGTTTTCCAATTTAATTGTATTGGATTCTAGTCGTTTATCAATGGAACCATTGACAGCTACTTTATCCACATCTGGTTTACCCTTAGACTTTATAGTGATCATCGTTGGTAACTTAACATCACTCATAGCCGATATAATGGACAATGGTCACTCAGACAGAGTAACAAAATTTTTTATCAAGGGAACGAGTTGAGAGTGCATCGCGCCAATCACGAATTCCGTTCATGAAAAAAAACGTCATACTTACATTGAGAATTTTCATTCATTATCATTGAACCTGCGCACATGTATCACACGAATTGAATGAATAGGTAGGGTTCAGGACTTCAGGGGTAGACGGAATTACGGAAAAGGATGAAAGTTCGAGGTTTGACTGTTCGAGCGGTTATCCCTTRTGATCGAGTGGAGGGTAGGAGCAGTAGGAGTAAGTTCAAACGCATGCGCTATCACGTTTGATGATACCAGACCGACGTAACCGAAATAATATTTATAACTTGCTGTATACCGTGGTTTTTTTATATCCATTTCTCTTATCTATATATATTATCACAAATTACTGATTAACAATAATCACAGCATATTATCTGATTAATAATTTTCCAAACAATATTTGAATCTCAAATACAAATATACAATACCTATTACAATTATTATTATTTTCGTCAAAATTAAAAATAGAAATGTTTAATAAATAATAGGTATTGTCGGATATTATATAGTCAGGCTCAGGATAATCTTTAATTTGACATTGGAACAAAATTAATCATGGTACTAAGTATTAGTAGACTATTAAACGATTATATCATTGATTAAATGTACAATGGTTATGTGAAAATATTATTTATGTGTAAAAATGAACAATATTTTTATAATTTATTTTTATATTATTTGCATAATGTTAAATTATAGTTGTCATTTTTCTTGTTTAGTTGTTAATGTTAAAGATCAGGTAATTTTTAACAAATAATTAATTAGAGGTTTAAATTAGTGATATTAATATATTAAATTTAGCATTTTGGTTTAAGTTATACACTTTGTGGTAAAATAAGTTGATACTCTATCAATACGTGCATTGACATTGATATACTAAGTACTTTTTTTTTATTAAGACTTATTTAATTTCTAATATTTTGTTCAAAAAATGTATTGTTAAAATTAAAGTAATCATGAAATTCATAGCCAACTAATTCATTCAGAAGAATTTTACATTCTATTTTAATTATTTTTTTTAATACAATATTTTAGGATGGTGGTGTAATAAAAGAAATAATAAATGCAAATATAACAGATGATACAATTACAGTAGAATTACAACTACCCGACTCTACATTAATAACTCAACACATTGATTTCACAAAGGTACAAACAATTTTATTTAAATATTATGTTTTTCGATGTTGTATCTTTATTAATGAAGAATGGGTAAGTACATTAATAATGCACTGGTTTTTATTAGGAAGTTCAAATAGTACAAGTGTTGTTGCTTGGAGAAGAAGAACGTGGTCAAAAGCCATATCAAATACTTTGTTTTGTCAATCACGTACATGCAAATGAATTCATCTCACCAGATGCAATGTCAAAACTCAGACAAGTATTCATATAAATGGAATAAAAAAGTAATACAGGGACTATGTGAACTTTTATTTCCTATGAAGCAACTACCATAAATAAGTACCTACTCACCAATTTGTTCATACTTAACATAATTCTTTTCACATATTTTTAATGCAGGTCATTTGTGACTATTTGAATATAAATTATAAACTAGTTCAGCCATATATCTCCTGGACGCGGGAGTCATACTCAACTCATAATATAGTTATTCACGCTGTCCCTGTTAATATTACTATATAGTATATAAATGTATATTACAAACAATAATTTTTTTAGAAAAATCCAGGTACAATTCGAGTTGCAGAAGAAAATAAAGGCGTATTTAATGTTACAATAGATATGAAAATTAAATTAAAAGATAGTAATTATATATCACAACATGTTGGATTATTATGTTCTGAAGCACAAGATACAACTTTTACAAGCAAAGTTGACATTGATAAATGGGCTACTGTGCCAGGTAATTAAAACTAAATATAAAGTATAAATTACACTTGCATAGATCCGACTTTATTTATTTTTAACAAATTCAATTGAATTTATTATATTTTTATTTGTATAAATATATTATGTTCTATCAAAAACTTAAGAAAAATCTTAGTAGGCTCTTGCACTCTAAGCAATATTAATAAATATATCACTATATATTTATAATAAACTTTAGAAGAAAAAGAACATCTTGCTGAAAATCTTGTTCAATTTTGTTGATGATAAAACTAAATACATTATAAAGAATTTTTGTAGGATATACAGAGCTAAACTTAAAAGATTATGACCATACTAAATTAAACATACTTTGTTCAAATCTCTTACTATATTAAATAATGTATCGCATTGGTATTCTTCAATACTTCATTAATTTAAGTTTTTCTATGATCCAACAAAGAACATTCTCCAAGAAAATTACATATTTACTATAGTTCTTATCTATTCATTAATAAAACATTGTTGAAATATATAAAGAAAAATTTAATAACCCATTAATTATATTCAGACATTTAGCTAAACATTACACTCATACAAAATATTCTAAAATTACCTTTCAAGGTCAATCCCCATTCTAAAATGTATTTTATTTTATTAATTTGTATACTTTATTTATTTAGGCATGTACTTGGGAAATTTGTTACAAGCTGTTGAATATATTAACTATAAATCGCCAAACTCTAATTTGAAATTATGTCGAGATACAGGTAAAGTCTGGTCACACTGTTTATGTACTATAAAAGTAACCATTCCTTGGTACCCTTGTGCATTAAAATTCTGCAAAGATCATATTGGTAAAAAATCAACAGCGGTTGATAGTTATCGATGTGGTATACAGACATGTGGTAAAATTATGMATTTTATGTATGGTGTTAAACATAAACAACATTGTTTGACAATTGAATAACACATTGTATAATTATAGTAATGTATTTATGAGGTAAATTAAACTTCTCTGATGTATATAAGTAAATAAATATATAAATAAATTTTGCATTTACATTTTCTTTATGATTAATAATCATAAATAGGTATTTATTTAAAAACAGTCTTACTTCATTAAATTAAAAATATATGTTTTAAAAAAAAATCCCTACACCACTATTATTAGTATAATAGTATTACCATCAAGTTATAGATAAGACATGAATCTAGTAAGAAAATCCAGATAGAAGTAAAATCTTAAAATAATACCAAACAGCCACGTAACTACAAGAAGATCATTCTGTATTAAGAAAGAAAAAAATGAATTCTGTGATCACTGAATGTAATGTCTAAAATTAAGGCTCTTATCATATTCAGTGCCATGCATCAAGCTCATCAACCCAAAATTCAGCACATTAAGTTGGCATGTACACATCGGCAAAAACAAATATTTTAAATCATAAATTTAAAATGCAATGTGTATGAAAATTAAAATACATTTAATAAGGTTAAAATACTACGACTATTATTAAAGTTTTAATAATAAACAAATGCATTCAAATAATGAATTATAAAAATGTAAATTATAATAATTAGATAATTTTCTTCTAGACAAAGTTGATCAAAACAGATAKTAAGTACAGTAGAACCTCATTAATCCGGACTAATTGGGGCTAAAGCCGCTAAAGGTTATCCAAATTAATGAAAGTCTGTATTAAACAAAATAACCAAGAATCTTAAATATTAAATTAAATTATTGGATAGTTATTTTACTAATTACTATACTTACAATACTTTGGTCTATATCTAATACATATAGATATGTATTGTTAGATAACAATATTAAACCTAAAAAATAGTATTATAATCATCACATAAWAATAAAGCTCGTTTTCGTGTTTATTTTAATCTACGTCATAACCTAACGTGATTTACATATTATAAACAGGTATCCTGATTTAGAAAAGTCCGAATTAATGAGGTTTTACTGTGTATTATATATTATATATATATACAGGGTGATTCTTTTATCAAACAACACTCATTATTTAAAAAAGTATTGACTTTTTTCAAAATATTTTTTTACATAGTTTCAAGTTGTTAAAAAATCAACGCTTTTATTAAAAAATTATATTTTTAAATATTTTTTAAGTTTTTTACTTTTTTGAATGGCAACAGTTTTTTAATTTCATATTCCAAAGCAGAATATTTTTCTAAAAATKTTGATACATAAAAATCGAATTTAGGACGAGTAGTTTATGAGTTATAAGTATTTAAAGTTTAGACAAGCGGAGTAGTGGACAAGCATTTTGCGGGGTAACCCCGTACCACTCCACTCTGCCAATCTTAACTTTAAATACCTATAACTCATAAACTACTAGTGCTAAATTAAAAATTTTAACGTAATAATTAATAAAAAAAATAGCTTTATTAATTTATGAAATTTTAAGTATAGGTTACCGTTTGAAAATCAAAAGTTGATAGTGGTTTATCTAATAAATATAAAAATAATAAACAATTCAAGAAGAGTGTAAATCTACAATTTTGAAAAAAGTCAATACTATTTAAAAAAATTAGTGTTGTTTGWTAAAAGAATCACCCTGTATACATATATATTTGTTGTTCAGTCGTTCAAATAAATTACCTCAGGCTATTACATCAATATTCTATTTTAAACAAAGGCAGTTAAATGGTTGTCATTTATAGTAAAATCATGAGGTACCTGTACCAAGCTTCTTGAAAAATTGTTTAATTAAATTGTACGTGGTATAATAAGTAGGTAAATAATAAAATTTCTAAGGTATCAATTTCTACCCCTGTAATTACTAATTATGCTTATGCCTACCTAAAAAAACAGCTTGATTAGTGGGTTCATTGACTCAAATGATAATTTTTTTATCCACGAGATCTGAGTATGTAATTCAGACAATTCAGTGTCACTATAGTAAGTATTATACATCTACATCTGAAGTATTATTACTACATAAAAATTGAATGCAATGTTTGATTCAGGTATTTAGTTTGGATAGATGTTTAGTATTTACAAAACACTCAGTTTGTGTCATTGCATTAACATGAACCAAATCGTCATTGTATATTTGTATTAAGTTTTAGGTCATTTGGCATACATACAAATTYACTATATTTAGATTTTATAATAATATGATAATATGATTATTTTATATTACCTACTTATAGATGTTGAGATATAACACAATTTTTCAAATAATTAAAATATTATAATTAACTACATTTTTCTATCACTCTTGCATAATTAAAACATTTAAACAGTAGTCTAACCAACATTTTAATAATTCGTTAAAAAAACAAATTTTATGTATCTCTTATTATTATTACAATTTATAAAATATGGTTAATTTAAAGTAGGTAAGTATTAACTGAGTGTTAAAGTGTCTAAGTAAACGTATTTAAATACATTTATGTTAACTTATATGATTCTATGTACAGTTTAGGCCGATTAGGATATTTTGGCCTTAAGAATCAGGCCATTAGGACATAATTGTAAATATTAAGTACCTATTTACAAAATGCAATTATTTTAATAAAAAATATAACAATCAATTTTAAACAATCAGAATTAAGTAGGTAAGTAGGTAAAAGGCATATTAAAAAATATAATAATATGATAAGTGGATGTTGCAAAAATATTGGGATATATTGTTTATTTACAATACCTCTTATATATAGGAGAATTATTGTATGAGATCACAATATTCATGATGTGCCAATTTTACATCGCTATATTCGTACGTAATGATATCTTGTGTATAGTACAATTAGAATGTCAGGTATTAATGGCTAAATGCCAAAAGGTATTCTGAGATTAGAGTATCCTAAGTGGATCGTCAATATAGGTACAGCTAGAACACAAATCGAACGCATGGCTAAAAGATTCTTACGATGAACTTGAAGTTATGCAAATCAATTTATAGGATTTACTTAACCGTTATATAAAGTATACGTTCATTAAAAAATTTCTGAATTTAAATTCATACAACCATAGAATGTGCGAAGAAATTGAACTTCGTCGATACGACGACACGCCTTGGGGATTTCGACTGACGGGAGGTCATGATTTCGGGATTCCTCTAACTGTCGTTCGGGTAAGTCTTAAATTTAAAATAGAGCTTAACCTTAAAAAATAAATTATCGAATTTCTTAATTATTAATAACTGTTAAAATAGGTGACTGGAGGTAGTTTGGCTGAGGAAGCTGGCATGAATGTTGGAGATATGATTATTGAAATTAATGGAGATAACACAGCACAAATAACTCATAGCGAAGCTCAGCAATGTATTTTAGAAGCTGGCAATAGTATTACTCTATCGATTTTACGGTGAATAAATTAAATTATTATAAATTCAATATTAATCCTGTTATAAGATGTAGGTAGTAATATATACCATATAGCACGTAGGTATATAGGATGATTCACCAAACATACTAAACTACCTACATAGGTGTGTTCATACTTAATAGTGGCTGAAGGGGAAAAACAATGTTTTTTAGATACGAAGAAACATTCTTTTCAATGTTTATGAAAAATTAACTATCTGCTTGTAAAAACAATAAAAATACTTTTAAAACTAAAATAAAAACACATTGTACCTATTACCTATAGTTAGGTAGGAACCTAATATATATTGAGTACTACACTTTTAATAAAATTGAGTGTTTATATTTTAATAAAATTATTTTTATTAGTCGAAGAATATCAAAAATTCTACACATTTTTTAGAACCYGTTTGTTATGCCCCTGCCACTAGGTTGACCATCGCTGTTGTACTATATTATTTTTACATAGGCTTCCTTACCGTTACAAAACTTTCAAATAAAAGTAAATAAAATAATAATAAATTGTTTACAATAATTAATATTGTATATAGCATAGTTGAACACCTCGGTTATGTTATTTCAGTCTCATATTAAACGAAAAAAATAAAAAAAAATTTCTAAAAATCCTCATTAAATGTAATCATCTCCACATTACGTATTATGTGTGTTATTTTAACAATACGAGGCCGGTATAGCCGGTAGCCATATAAAGCTAATTAGTAATTTTAATATTTATTTTAACACATAATAATACTAATAATATTGTCAAATTTTAAAAAGTCAAAAATAATGTGCCAAGTTCCACTCGTGATTATTTATTCAGTGTAGGTACCGACGTATCGAGTATCTAATACAGTGATTTCAATAACAATGATTTAAGGCACTTTATCAAATTGTTGTGTATTTACTATTTAGCTATACTTGTAGCTACAAGCAATCACATTTCAATACTATAGCTTTAAAAGTTTTAAACCAGCGCCGTAGTCAGGAATTTTTAGGGTGGAAGCTACAGGCTACAGAATTTTATTGCTTATAGGCTAGGGCTATACCTAACGTGACCATAATTTTTTTCCTTCAAAGCGGGAGTGCGGGACACCTGTACATTTTAATAAGAAAACCATATAATTTTGCGTAAAATAACAATTTTTTTTATTGAATAATGAATAAAAAACATTAATTGTTTATATGAAAAATGCGAATATTATATTAATCATAATAGTCTCCCAACAATAAATTATGGATTTTAGTGTTTCACAGTTTATATGAAATATGTAGGTATACGTCATATACGGTTAACTGTATAGATACAGTATAAATGTATGATTGTGATATGTGATCAATAAATAATACCTACCACATGTCATGTCGACTTTTCTTAAAACGGGACATTTTTAGGTTCTTTGGGGACGGCGGGACACTTATCTCGAAAGCGGGACGAATGGTCACGTTAGCTATACCAGTACTACTGAGTATAGACAGATTTGGTATTTGGGGGGCTGCCCTTCCACCCTTAGCTACAGCACAGATTAAATATTAAATTTTCGTAAATTTTTAAGCACTTTTAAAYAAACACTAAAAAATTCTTGGGTATTTCATGAAAAATAATTCATAAAAAAAGGTTGTCTGATGAAGTAGATTTGCTTGTGTGCGTTAGGAATTGAGAATTGAGTAAATACACGCTGCCTATGAGCCGTGGTC